GACAGCAGCCATGAAATTAAAAGACCCCTGCTTCTTGGGAGGAAAGTGATGACAAACCTAGACAGCATCTTAAAACACAGAGACATCACCTTGCCAACAAAGGTCCACATAGTCAAAGCTATTTTTTTTTCCCCAGTAGCGATGAATGGAAGTGAGAGCTGGACCATAAAGAAGGCTGACTGCCGAAAAATTTATGCTTTTGAATTGTGGTGCTGGAGGAGGCTCTTGAGAATCCCCTGGACTGCAAGGAGAACAAACCTATCCATTTTGAAGGAAATCAACCCTGAGTGCTCACTACAAGGACAGATCCTGAAGTTGAGGCTCCAATACTTTGGCCATCTCATGAGAAGAGAAGACTCCCTGGAAAAGACCCTGATGTTGGGAAAATGTGAGGGCAAGAGGAGAAGGGGACGACAGAGAACGAGATGGTTGGACAGTGTTATCAAAGCTACCAACATGAATTTGACCCAACTCCAGGAGGCAGTGGAGGATAGGAGGGCCTGGTGTGCTCTGGTCCATGGGGTCACGAAGAGTCGGACATGACTTAAAGACTAAACAACAACAAAAGCTTTCCACAGTGACCCCAGCTGACCAAATTCCCCCTCCCTTTTCCTTTCCTCTCCTCTTCTTCCCTCCCCTCTTTTCCTCCACCTAGTGCCCGGGCAAAGACTGGGTAGTCAGGAGGGTTCGTGCAGGCAGCTCAACACCCCAAAGAACTGGTGGGACAATGTGTTATGGGTGCCCTCCCATCCCTTGTACTCCACTTCCAAACCCTAATAAAATTGAGTTGAAGTATCTCAGGGAGTTTGGTATTTACCAAGACCATTACAGAGGAAGGCCTGCTCACCACCTCCATGTTGGGCAGTGGTGGTGACAGCCATGCTGTCCTCATAGCCCAAGATGAAGGAAGGAAAAGGGCAGCCACGCGTCTCCTCATAGCCCAAGATGAAGGAAGGAAAAGGAGATCGAAAAGAGAAATAAAGAATGGGTGTCACAAAAGAATGGAAGAAAGATTGAAACCCCATTCAGGCATTTGGAAAAGCACGAGTGGGGAAGTAGACTAGCCCCACCCCATGTGTCCTAATTCCCATGCTAAATCTGAAGTGGAAAATCATCGCATGGGGCTCAGAATTAGAACATGCAACCACACCCAAATTAGGGGTCTTTATAGCATTGAGATGCTTCATATGCAGAGAATGCTCTCCTCTTCAGATTTTGCTCACTATGTTCAAGAGACAAAGGGAAGGAAGCATCACCTACTCTGCCTGCTTGTGGGTTTGAATTAACCATCTCTGCATGCTCCTGGATGCCCCTACATGGGGATGTGTTGTTAAAGTGTTCTACAGGCCCAGTCGTAACAGTAGGAGTCAACGTTTCCTTTTAACATAATCTATATTAACTAAACCAATTGTGCAATTTCACACTATTCCAAAGCCAAATCAGCCCAATTCTGGTTCAGAAAGAAGATGGCCTGCACATCAGCTTCACACTGCTGAACATGATTCAATTGTGTTTGCTCCTCCACTGCTGAAGCTGTGTTGCAGTAGGCATTGCTAGGGTAGGACTGGCAGGAAATTGCTGGTGGAACATAAGGCTTTCACTTGCCCAGCTGAAATGCAAGGCTTTCAGAACCTCTTCAGCTGACTCAGGTTAGGAACGCTCATAGAATCATAGAATAGTGAAGCTGGAAGGGGCCTATGCAGGAATAGAAATCAAAGGATATCTGCCAGGTGGTTGTCTGAGTGTCTCCTGCACGCCTCCAATGTTGGAGCACTCACCACCTATTAAGGTAACTGGTTCCACTGTCATCCTGCTCTAACAGTTTGGAGGTTTTTCCCTGATATTCAACTGAAATCTGGATTCCTGATATTCAACTGAAATCTGGCTTCCCATTCTTCTGTATCCTGTACTCTGGGATGATCGAGAACAGATGCTGCCCCTCCTCCGTATCACAGCCTTTCGTATATGAAAAGTGTAATCATATCCCCTCTGTCTTCTTTTCTCGAAGCTCAACATGACCAATTATTTCGGTGTATCCTCATAGGGCTTGGGTTCCAGCCACTCGATGCTCCTTGTTGCCCTCCTCTGAACCTGTTCCAATTATACAGGCAATCTGTAGCCTGCATAATTAACTTGTAAACCACCCAGAGAGTGCTTGGAGTGCTATGGGGCGGCATATAAGCAGCAGCACGCTTTTTTGTCAGAATCCTTTTTGAACTGAACACAATGCTCAAGGTGAGGCCTAACCAGTGCTTAACAGAAGGGAACTAGCACCTTACAGGATTTGGAAACTATACATCTGTTAATGCCGCCTAAAATAGCATTTCCTTTTTTGTAGCCACATCACACTGTCGGCTCATATTCAGCTTGTGATTCAAGACAATTCCAAGATCCTTCTTGCTTGTAGTATTGTTGAGCCAGATATCCCCCATCTTGTAACTGTGCATTCGGTTTGTATTTCTCAGATGCAGTTCTTTGCACTTATCTGTGCTGAATTTCATTCTGTTGTTTTCAGCCCAGTGTTCTGGCCTACCAAGATCATTTTGATTTTTGTTTCTGTATTCCAGGTTATTAGCTAATCTATCACTTCCATCTGAGACTCTCTTTTGTTGTCTTCCTATCTCCTTTTTCTCCTGTCAAACTGTTCATTACCTCCGGTCCTCCTTTCTGCCTTCTCCTTTGACTGTTTTACCTTTGTGACCCGCCTCCCCTCCCAAATCCTTCTAACCCTTGTGCTTCATCCTGATCCCAATTCCTTTTTGGAGGTTTCCAACCGTTTGGACATTCAGAGTGAACCCCTCCAATCATCATGTTCTCATGTGTTTGAGAACTGAATCCCTAAACAAAGAAATAATTAATTTTGCTTTATTTGTGATGACACTGTGTTTTATAGATTCTCAGTTATTCAAATGCTCTGTATCCATATTGCATTCCTTGCCTAAATTTTAAATACGGACTCTCTTTATTTCACCAATGCCATTTATTCTGAATAGACACTATGCCACTGATAAACAAGCGAAGTCAATGGGGTTTTTTTTTTGCATAGAACTCATCCCCACACAATTTCCAAATGGAGGCAGAAAAATAAAGTTGGTAAGATGAATGTTTGTTTGACCAATTATTTATGGTACAGAATAGCTGTGTTTTAAGAGAGTTTGACAGAAAGATGTACTATTATGGAAGATCTTTTGTTTTCATGCCTCTTCATAGCAAATTATCTTGAGTATATATACTTGTACAGAATACTCTGCTTTGGGGGGGTTATCTTAAATATATATATTTGTACAGTCATACTCTGCTTTAGAGGAAGATTTGTAATTTGAGATGTCTTGCCCATGATGAACGTTCTAGATAGTTGTTTTCCCTTGTGAGGAATTTTGATGGGTTTTAAAAGGAATTTATTAACAATATGTCTTCCCAGTACTCTAGACCACTGGTTCTTAACCTTGGGTTACTCAGGAGTTTTGGACTGCAACTCCCAGAAGCCTTCACCACCAACTGTGTTGACTGGGGTTTCTGGCAGTTGCAGTTCAAAAGCATCTGAGTAACAAAGGTTAAGAACCACTGCTCTAGTGGTCACAGCTCTTTGTTACTCAGGTGTTTTTGAACTGCAACTCCCAGAAACCCCAGCCAGCAGAGCTGATGGTGAAGGCTTCTGGGAGTTGCAGTCCAAAAACATCTGAATAACAAAGGTTAAGAACCAGTGCTCTAGACTTCACAGCTAGTACAGGTGCCATAGAAACATGGACTGAACCAAAATGTGATTTGTAGATTTTAAAATATAAACGATATAGCCAGATGGATTAGACCAGGGATGTATCTAGCCCAGAAACACCCTAAGGATGTAATCTGACCTTGATATAAGATCATGTTGAATCGTGCCAGAAGGCATTATTTCACTGAGTTTGATCTTTAAAGTGATCCTTTAAAGCAACCCTTCTGTCCATATGCAATTTGATCCAGATTGCTCCAGACATGCTCCGGAAAAAGAGCAGCTTTGCTACTGGGCATAAAAGGTCCAGATTGAGCACTGTTCAAAGTCAGGCTAGTTCGCAATCATGTGTACATCATTTGGTCATCAGAAAACAGATTGAATACACTGTTTTCCAAAACACTAACTAAATCAATGTCTGATTGCACCCTAAGTGTTTATGGAAGGCCCACCTGCAGGACATGATATAGCCCTATTTGTGTTTGCTAGTATTCATATATATAAGAGTCTATATATGTATAGAATCTCTAGGCAGTATATATCTGAATACTAGTTATATACATAAAGAGGGCATGCAACTACACCCCTGCCCTGGTCTATGCTCAAATGAAAGGACATAGATAGGTGCTTAGCTCACCTTTTGCACTTTAGAGACATTTGCATCCAATCCTTCTCTGGGTCTGTGGTGATATTTGTAAGTTTCTGCTTTCTGGACAAAAAAATGTTCCTCGGAAAGGAAAATGCAAATAGCAAGGCCAAATCATAGACTGAGAGGTGCAAAAATCTTTTGGCCATTGAGTACTGCAGAGTCGGGAGCTCTGTTCCATTTTCTTTTTCCTCCCTCTTTATCTCAGAAAGCCACATTGAATACAGGAAGGGAATGAGTCTAAGACTTTATTTAAGTATGCATTTCTTTATTACATTTCTATACTACTCGAATTAATGCTTTGCACTGCTCAGGGCAGTTAACAAAAAGCATATCCAAATTCACCCTCCCTTATTCCCAACGTCTCATAATGGAAGAATCAGACAAACTAAAAATTGAATAGTAAGAAACCTAAGAGGGACGTGGTGGTGCTCTGGGCTAAACTGCAGAAGCCTGTGGTGCAGAGTCAGAAGACCAAGCAGTCGTAAGATCGAATCCACGCGACGGAGTGAGCACCCGTCGCTTGTCTCAGCTCCCGCCAACCTAGCGGTTCGAAAGCATGCAAATGCGAGCAGATAAATAGGGACCACCTCGGTGGGAAGGTAACAGCGTCCCGTGTCTAAGTCGCACTGCCCATGTGACCACGGAAGATTGTCTTTGGACAAAAACGCTGGCTCTATGGCTTGGAAACAGGGATGAGCACCGCCCCCTAGAGTCAAACACGACTGGACAAAAATTGTCAAGGGGAACCTTTACCTTTCAGAAACCTAAGAGAAACCTAAAACAACTAATGATCATAAAGCCAGTCCCACTGTCACTTTAGGGGAGGATGCCTCTGAATACTTCAACAAATGGCTTGATCCAGGCTTTTCCCACGCATAAAAGACTGCATGTTTAACCATCCTGACTGATAGCCTCCCCAGAATAGTGTTCTAGCAAAAGAGTCAGTGAAATTTGTGTGACATATTTTTTCAGAAGGGAGATAGTGGGAGTTCAAGAGGAAAAGAAGAACGTCCCTCTAATGTTATGTGTCTTTCACCCATGGATTGTAGGATCCCCCTCGTTATCTAGCTAATCTTCAGAAATAATGGTGTTTGCTCTGTTGAAGGGTCTGGTTCAGTAAACTCCAAAACATTTGCTCTTAAATCAAGATTTCATAAAATCTGGAGTGTAAATTGGCTTCACGCGATGTGAACGTATGTAACTAATGTAGGCTTCTTTAAAAATATTATTATTTAGAACAAACTGACACAAGAAACCTGACATTTTATGAGCTGTTATCATTACCTCTGTTTCTGCATGTGTCTGTCATATTGTGTATTTGTTTGTTGTGATTCTTGCTAAATTCATTTTTTCCCCAAAACTATCCCCCTCCAGATGAAAGGCTGCTGTGAAAAGCACAATGGAAAACCAGACAACTATGGAAGAATTTTTCCTGGTGGGACTTACTGATAATGCTACAGTCCAGATTCTCCTGTTCTTAATTTTCTTACCTATCTACCTCATTACCCTGGTAGGGAATATTTTAATTATGCTGGCAATAAGGGCTGATGCTCAGCTACACAATCCAATGTATTTTTTCCTCGCTAACTTATCTTTCCTTGACATCTGCTATTCATCTGTAACAGTTCCAAAGATGCTTGACAACCTCCTAGCCTCAAAAAAGACAATCTCTCTTAATGGCTGCATTGCACAGATCTTCTTCTTTATTTTCATGGTTGGAACAGAGATCTTCTTACTCTCTGCAATGGCATATGACCGCTATGCGGCCATATGTAACCCACTGAGATATAACACCATTATTAGCCACCGAATGTGCCTCCAGATGGTGCTGGGTGCATGGGTATCAGGATTCATGGATTCCCTTGTTAACACTCTTTTTCTGACTGGCTTACACTTCTGTGGTCCCAACAACATCAACCATTTCAGCTGTGAGCTACCTTTGCTATTGCAGCTCTCTTGCACTAATACATTTGCCAACGAGATGGTGATTCTCACCTTCAGCATGACATTAGGGTTTGTCTCCCTCCTTCTCATTATAGCTTCCTATGTTCGGATCATTAGCACCATTCTCAAGATACGTTCTGCAGAAGGAAGGCAGAAGGCATTCTCAACTTGTGCTTCTCATCTCATTGTGGTTCTTCTCTTCTGTGGAACAGCTTTCATTAGGTACATGCGACCTGCATCAGGGTATTCAGACACACTAGACAAGCTTGTGTCAATTCAATACAGCATCCTAACCCCCATGTTGAACCCCATTATATACAGCCTAAAAAACAAAGAAGTGAAGGCTGCTTTGAAGAAGCTGTTTCAAACATGACACTAAGGAGGCCTTGGTTTTGAGACTCTCTTGATGGAAAAGAGACATAAAAAGGCAGACCAGATGTAACTAAAATCTATAGCTGTCTGTGCATGATCAGGGAACAAAGGAAGGCTAATTGCCTTAGAACAAAGGAGTCAACAAGCACGGATGTCCGAACCAGCGGAGCCTAAAGGCAACGCCCTGAGAGCTCTTACATAGTATGTTGTTAGAATTCAGATGGGATACTAGTTACCTAATTGCAGCTAGGATTGGCTGAAATAACCCTTTGATATTATGCTGTACCTCTAAGCGAAAGGCCAGAATAAGGGGTTACCCTGCCTGCTGGCAGCTGCCACCTCCTGCCAGGAGTGTGTACACATGACTGGAACAGAATGCAGCTACAACTTTTAAGCAGAAGTTTCCCACAGCTGTCATCGTTGTGTTAGTGTATATATTTCTCTTCCACATCTACTGAAACTAACTTACATAGCTCAAAATGGCATAGTTGGTTGTCATCTTCTTGAGTTTATCCTCATAGCAATCCTGTAGGTCAGGCTGAGAAAATGGCTGCAAAGGTACATGACTTTGCCAGTGTTCGACTGTTAGCCAAAAGGAAATCCATAGAATTGATTGCTGAATAGCAACTTTTTCAACACATAGTTTCTTTTTATTTATTTTTTATGTTAAAATAAAACCTTCCGTGTCAATCTTTGGTGCACTATTCTAATTTGATATAGATTACAATGGCGTGAAGGAACTGTAACAGATTATATGTTTGTAATGCAATATCTATATTAGAACCACAAAGCTGGAAGGGACCCTATGGATTATTGAGTCCAGGTCTTTTCAATGAAGCCCTGTGGGTAATCAACCTTCTAACCTCTGGCTCTGCAGCCATAGACATGAATTGCTAAACTATGCAGCAGCTATTATTTTATTCTTATTGTTTCCATGTTCATTCAATAAAGTTTTTTTCCAAAAAAAGGAAAATTAATTATGTGGATTCCACTGAATAACCTGATCTTCTCTAGTTGAGACTAGCATTTTATGCTGGCCACAACAGAGGCTGCAATCCTGCGCTCCTTTACATGAAACTGTATCCCACTACTGATGTCTGAGTCAAGAATACAATTGACTTCTGAGTAGATGTCAATACACCTATATTGTAAAACTCTATTTTATTATCTAATCTCCTAGTTTGCATGCAAGACACCGTTGCATGGGTTTATATTGGATTTATTGCACCCTTGTATGTTGCCTTTAAGAGGTTTTGGCTGGAAGGGACCTTTCTGGACTGAGATGAATGTTTATTCAGGGCCACAGAGTGCTTTTTGTTAATAATCATGTCATACAATAACCTTTTCTTCCATATGTAACCCTCTGTGGCACACAGTTATAATGAATAGGAAGTTCAGCTTCTTTGAGTTGATGGTGGAGGTAGGTAATTTATTCACCTTTATTTATCTAATTTATCCATGTAGTTGCCTCAACATAAATGAAATAAATGTAAATATTATCACTGAAAAAAGGATACTGTCATGTTATGACTGAGTTTGCCATCAAATTCCATAGTTTATTAGTGAAGAGGATGTTGTAGACGATGAAAAGATGGTGCTTAATCTTACATTTCTGGGTGGTGACTCCTTATCTTGGACATGAGTCTCTCATGGATGGATGGATGGATGGATGGATGGATGGATGGATGGATGGATGGATGGATGGATGGATGGATGGATGGATGGATGGAAAACTAAATCTAAGGCTAATTTTATGTGACTAGGTGCATTCAAATCAATCGGATTTGGTTGTCTACAAGTAAATTAAGTTTTGTGGTTTTCAATGAATCTATGCCAAGGTGAACATTAGATTTCTCCCTTTAATTTGATTCAAGACAGCCTACCTTCCTAACTGACATAGCACAGACAGAATGTGGTATCTGCCAAAACTTATTTTTGGATTTGCACAAGGACCACATTTAATTTTTCTTGTACTTAGTCTGGGGACTTGGACATCTAGATTTGTTTATGAATGGTGGACTGCATGCAGCAAAGAACAGAGGGTGTCACTTAATGCTGTATATATTTCTATTATTCTTTTTACATATGTCTTTATTTTACAAGATAAAGCTACTAAGATTGTAATTTAAAGAGGAGAGGAGGCCAGTATGATTGCAGACAAGAGAGAAGCTTCTGATCCTACATAACCTTCCACCAATTTCTTGTTAAATTAATTCCCTCCCCTTCCCTGTTTGCTTTTATTCCATTAGGAGGAAAGACATGTAAGAACAACTTACTGGAGATGATTTTTTTCAGAGGAACATAGCACAAAAGAAATATAAAACTCTCCACTGCTACAAAGTGCAGTTGCAAATGTCAAAACAAAGTGTCCCTGGAACATAGAATATTAAACACATAGTTCTGCCTTATGGTTGGTGAAGAGATAAAGACAGTGAGGTTGAAAAAAACGTAGATTGAATCTACGGTGGGATGGAAAGGTAGTATGAGCACCTCCACCCCATTTAAGTGTCAAGATGGTTGCAAAACTTTGTTGGACATGGTCTCTGTGAATTCCAGACTAGTGAAACTGACTGAACCTGATTTTATTGTGTCTTGGCACAAAAAAGGACAAAAAAGCAACACCCTTCTTCCAACCCATCTGTCTTTATATTAAATTAAATTAAATAAATTTATTGTCATTGCAAGTATATACATAGTATACACATACAACCCAGAGACCAGACCCACATGCACACACATAAAAAAATCCCCAAACACTCCCCATCCACTAAAAATCCCCCACTAAGAACACAAACATCTGCACCACAGGCTAAGTAACACTGTCCAACTATTCACTGCTGGTGGTCTTTAAGTTCATTATTAAGTGCAATAATTGGTGCACAGCTAATTATTGTACTTAAGTGCACAGCATCTTCTGTGCCTTCTTCACAGAGGACTGAGTTCTTGGCAGTAACCTCCAGTCGGTACTGTCTCTTCCAGATCCCTAGTTGACTTCACTGCAGCTGTTATGCATAGAGTGAGTTCTTGGCAGTAACCTCCAGTCGGTACTGTCTCTTCCAGATCCCTAGTTGACTTCACTGCAGCCGTTATGCATAGAGTCTGTTGCTGGTATTGCTTAAGTGCTTTTCCTAGCCAGCCAGTGCCTCATAAAGATGGCCTGAACCGATGGGTCCTCTGTCATGTTGCTTATACTCATTTTGTTTCTTGTGCTACTAGCACCTTCTTTGGGATGGAGTGGAGGCTGGTTGCCCCGCTAGCCACTGAGTCACTGTGCAGTGGGGTGTAGAAGTGGATGAGAGGGTATCAGTTCAAAAACACCCCAGCTGCAACCCTTTCTGTGGGGTATTGGATCTGCATGAAGAAGGCAGTTCAGGGGTTGTTGATGAAGGCATAGGCCACTACCCTTCAAGTGCACAGAATCAACTCCAGCTTCTTGGTGGTGTGTTGGCCCAGGTCCATTCCTCCTCTGACAGTGGTCTTGGGATCATCAGCCTAACTGGCCTCAATGTCCTCCTCCTCAGTATCTGGTCCTACTCTCCTACTTTCCTTGGCTTCCCCCCACCTCCATCTCTTCTTCCTTTCTTCCCTGTCCCACCTTCTCACACAGGTTGACCCCTCCTCTTGTCCCAGAATGGCAAATCTGTTTCTGTGCTTGACTGAGGGTTCTATTTCAGCTTCTAATGACAGGCTATTTGTAACATCCACCTCATTCTCGTTTCCAAGCCATAGAGCCAGCGTGTATCCGAAGACAATCTTTCGTGGTCACATGGCCAGTGTGACTTAGACATGGAACACTGTTACCTTCCCACTGAGGTGGTCTCGATTTATCTACTCACATTTGCATGCTTTTGAACCGCTAGGTTGGTGGGAGCTGGGACAAGCGACGGGTGCTCACTCGGTCACGTTGATTCTATCTTACCGCTGAAGGTCTACAGACCTTACAGCACAGAGGCTTCTGCGGTTTAACCTGCAGCACCACCACGTCCATTTAAATACTAGATGCATTAAATAAGAGAGAATAGTATTAGAGACCCCCATTTTAAATAGTTTTGTGTTTGTGTGTGTTTGTTTTGGTTTACATTTCACAAGGAAGTGTGGAGTGATCATCTTATATGCATTCCCACCATCACTGTGATTTTTTAAAATCATTTCATAGTGGTCAAATTGCAGTCTTTAAATTACTTGTCAGCTTGGGAGCCCAGTTAGTTTCTGTGGAATTCCCCCAGAGTCCAGGTTCTGGAAGGCAGGAACAAGGAGATAGTTTAGGTCTAGGATGCATCAGTTTTAGAGAAGGCTTCTCTGCAGCTCATCTCACCCAATCCCTTCCCTCACTTGCCTCTCCAGAGCTCCAGTGGCATCCAGGCTAGCTTAATCTTGTCCAAGTGCATAGTTGATATCTCCTATGTCTGGCTCATGTTGCAAGCCAGTAAACATAGCACAGGTACACAGCTTCTGACATCCTCCCACATGCCTCTTTCTTACAAGACAGACAGTGGCCCTTTAACTTCTGCTCTTTAATTCCCCTATACCAGGGGTCTCAAACATGCAGCCTGGGGGCCATTTGCAGCCCGCCAGACGATAGTTTGTGGCCCCCGCCTTGCCTGCCCCCCCCGCAGTGCCCATGTGCTCTCTGCTGTCAAGAGAAAAAAAAGCCTCACCTCGCTCGCCGGATCTCTCCCAAGACAGCGCCTCTTGCACCCTCCATCCGGAACTGCACCTTGCCAGCCAGCCCACCTATCTGCCAGCTAAGGAAACTCCTGGGCGGCTTCCCCGGGCTCTTGCTCCACTTGGCGGAAAATCTGATGTGGCCCAGCCTCACCCAGACTCTGCCTCCAGCGGCCCCCAGGTAAATTGAGTTTGAGACTCCTGCCCTAGACCATGCCCCCTCCAGCTGCCTCTCATCAGGGGCCTGTATCTCCTTCAGCTGCATTAGCCTAATCCTGGAAAAACTTATCCACTGCTGGCCTGATCCTGAGGCAACCTACCTCCATTCAGGCTGCCTGCTACCTGTGTGCTAAGGTCAGACAGCTAGCTGGGGGTGCATGTATGTACCCCTCACACAGAGTTTTAGGAAAGAAATGATATTCACAAACAACTGACAAAACTGTACACTGTAAAAGCAGAAATAGTGAGCACACAACACTAAAGACATTGAGCTGGGTAGTAAACCTTTTCCTTAACTACTTGAAATAATCAAGCAATAAAGTTTATGTGTGAAACTGAATCATAGGCACTAACATTTTCATATAGAGTAAGTTCATTGTAATTCACAGAAGTCAACTATCTCTGGTAGAATGTAAACATTTTAATTTCCAACTGATGTTTCATAGTACTGGATCAAGCCAAAACATTATGGAGAACACATATATCTTTTCTATAATGGAGGCTTTTGCTTTTATCGGTTGAAAACATTACCTTTCAAAAATCTTCAAGCCCATCATTTTCAGTAAGTCTGTTCTTATTCAGCTGGTGTTGGTGACTTACAGAAGTCTGTGGATCAGATCCAGGACCTGGCTTCTAGCGAAGGAAAGGTTTTCCTTGTAGAATATATTTCCACCTCATTTTCATTATCTGTCATAGCTCACTACTCATCTTACATTCTAAGCACCTCAGTGTAGTAATTTCAGAATCTAAATGTCCAGTTTGGTGAGGAGGGGCATGGAAGTACATTTCTGCCAGCCTGAATGCATACATCCAATTCAGATTACGTCAATACTGACAATAATCCAATGTGGGTTGAATGTATACTAAATCACACATAGAACATTCCTATTCATAGGCTAGATTTCTCTTGGTCTACTCTAACAATGATTAAGCTTGGTTATAATTTACACTTGGAAGAGGTGTAGGTGTAAACTTTCTAAGAATATTTTAAGTACATGTGGGAGCAATATTTTTTTCAGCAGAAGTACTAAAATGAAATAGATATCAACAAAACAGACACATACAAACAACCTACAATATTTAAGTGTTTATCACATTTGTCTCTCTGAAAAGCCCAGAGCCACTTACATTTGATTTTCAGAGGAATTACTGATGCAGCTATTCTATCAAGTTAGATATTATATGTTAGCAATGTTATACCATATATGTCCAGATCATATTCCATCCCTCATGTTAGCACACTACTGTTTCTATCTTTTATAAATCCTTCTCCCCTCCAGTTTCTAATTAAAAGCCTAATATACCACTACTGAAAAAATAGAACTGCAAAAATTATCCTTGCAAACTACATCAAGAGTCTTAAATTCACCTGGAATTATTCTGGAGAAGACTACAGTATTTTAAAAATAAATTTATATTTTTGATGGAATTATCTTTGAAACTGTCTTTCTGAGAGCTCCCTTTACTTCTTTGTTTCTCAGACTATAGATAATTGGATTAAATATTGGAGTTATAACTGAGTAGAAGAGAGAGAAAAATTTGTCCACATTCAGAGAATAGCTGGATTTGGGGCGGATGTATATAAAAATGGCTGTCCCATAGAATACGGACACAGCAGCAAGGTGTGAGGAACAGGTGGAGAACGCTTTCTGGCGGCTCTTGGTTGATTGCATCTTTAAGATGGTACTGATGATGTGGATATAAGACAGAAGGATCAGCATGAAGGGCATCAAGATTACAAAGGCAGCAGCTACAATAATCTGGATCTCATTCCAGTAGGTGTTTCCACACACCAGTTTCAGCACAGGCTGGATTTCACAAAAGAAATGGTTGATGACATTGGAGTCACAGAAGGGCAGTCTGAAGATGAAGGTGGTATGACCCAAAGCCACCAAGCAACCACAAACCCAAGACAAGGCAGCAAGCTGGATGCATGTTCTTTTCCTCATGACAATTGGGTATCGCAGTGGGTTGCATATAGCTATGTAGCGATCGTAAGCCATGACAGCCAGAAGACAACACTCAGTGGCACCAAAGAAGAGAAAGAAATACATTTGAGTAGCACATGCACGTAAAGAGATGGTTTTGTCCAAAGCAAGGATGTTCTCAAGAAGTTTTGGAATTGTGACTGAGGTGTAGCCAATCTCCAGGAAAGAAAGGTTCAGAAGGAAGAAGTACATAGGGATGTGGAGGGCATCATCCACATTAATGATGGCAATGATGGTGACATTGCCTAGTACAGTGGCAATGTAAATGCACAGAAACACAGCGAAGAGAAGGAGTGTGTAACTGGTCACATTTGAAAAGCCCAGTAGAATAAACCGATTCACTGTCGTCTCATTCCCCATTGTCTCTTGGGCATACTTTGCGTATATGATATAGCAAAGCTGTGGTTAGGAATAAATATGAAGAAAATATTTTCAAATTAATAACTACTATTTATCTGCTTTTGAAATCATCATCATCACCATCACCATTTAATACATACTCGTCTTTCCTTCTGCTGTTTAAACAAAAGAATCAGTAAGGCTGGAAGCAGCTTGCTTTAATACTGGCTTTAACTGATGTTGATGCTAAGTCCTCTTGGTATCTTTCATTATCAAGTGCTTTACTCCAAAGGGATGAAGTCTCTTCTCAATTACATCACTGACAAATTAGGTACTTAATAAAAAGAGAGAGAGATGAGCCTGGTAACTGATTATTTCAGCTTAAGTTAATATGAGAGTACTCTTTGGGTCATTGTGAGATTTATTGACACTCAGTATGGCCACAACATGGTCCTAAATGTATATTGTTGCTTTACTGATATTAGATATGGCGTTCATGGTTTGTCAAGGTTGATAAACAATAAACCATGGATTTCCCCATGGTGAACCAATGAACCACAAATCAGTTTATTGGTTTGTCAAGACTTTTTTTATATCCTAAAAAAAAGCTGAGCCCCCTACTCCCACAGCCTGCCCCTCCACTCCCTTGCCACTGCCCCCATTGCCTCCTTACCTTGTCCTGCTGCCTCCCCCATCACCGCTGCTGTCTCCACCACTGTCTCCACACTGCTACCTCTGCTAGAATGGAAGCTAGGCTGTTGGAATGGTGGTTTCCATTCTGGCAGCCTAGCTTTCATTCCTTTGCAAACAGTAGCAGGGGAACTTCCCTGCAGGTAGATGGCCAGGCTTGCCCTATCTATGCTCCCAATGGTCAGCTGTTGAGCAGGCACATAGGGCAAGCCTGGCTGGCTGTCCAAAGTTAAGCCTCCCACTGTCTGCACAAACAGCAGCCAGGTTTCCCTTCCAGAAGCCTAGCCTTCCCTCTCTGTCTATTCCGTTGAGGAACAGCTGATCTACGGGGGCATAGGCAAAGAGGGAATTCCTTACAAATTAACAAATATGAAATGGTTATATTTCTCCATTCATATTTGTTGGGGTCTCTGGAACTGATGAATTTGAAATGATGAATATCTGACAAATCAGCGATATTCAATGTATACTGTGATTCATTTTTATATTTGTCTCCATGTCTAACTGATATCAATATTTTAAAATTCTCCAAAGCCTAAATTTGTTGTCGTTATGTGCTGTTATGTTGGAACTGACTTATCATGGCCCTAATAGGGCTTTCAAGGTACATGACATGTTTAAGAAGAGGTTTTATCAGTTCCACATCCTCAGTGAGTTTCCATGGATGAGCAGGGACTTGAACCTGGGTCTCTTGAGTCCTAATCAGTTGTTCTATTCACTACACCTCATTGGGTAACTAAAGTCTGAACTGGAACATGTAAATATAATGGTTAGAATTTTTTTGGGGGGGGATATCCACTAAAGGAACTGAGTGAGTATCAGAGTGACCTTTCTTGCCCACTGCAGCCTCTTGTACACTCCTAAAACTTGATCCACAGTCCTGGGAAAACATTGCCCTGAGCTTTTTTTGGAGTGCTACCATGGGATACAGGGAAAGGAAAGAGGGAGAGTTCCTTTTTATTTTGCCCACCCAATGTTGGACAGAATGTCCTTACCCCCTATAATTATGCAACCATATGCAAGAGGCAATGGTGCCCCTCAGTTGCAGTCTTCCTTATCCATTACTATAATGTAAAATGACCAATAATAACAACATTGGTTGTTGTGGGTTTTTCAGGCTCTTTGGCCAGGTTCTGAAGGTTGTTCTTCCTGATGTTTCACCAGTCTCTGTGGCCAGCATCTTCAGAGGACAGCACTCTGTGCTCTGGTGTAGTTGGCTTGGAAGTGGAGTATTTATGGCTGTGAGATGGGCTTTTATCTTTTTCTGTAGATGGGTGATTAGTGTGTCTTGTTGTGGGTGTATTGTTGTGATAAGAAACTGATAGAATATATTTCATTACTGTACAAAAATCTCTGAACCACAAAACTGAGCAGGATATATTGTAGAATTTTTTAAAGGAGATGGTATATGGACGTGGGCTTTGTAAAGGTGCACATTCCTAGCTCTGAAACTAAGGGAAACACTTCATGGCTAGAGTAGGACAGAAGACACTTTTGAAGTTTCAGTAAACTTTTAATATTTTCCTTGAGGAGTGAAATGAGATGCAGCTGTCATTTTGAAATGGTGGCCTCAGACCAGAAGTGGAAAGGCCACCATTTTACTGGCAACAACACTACCTCATGAAAAGCAGTTACAGTGGTACCTCGACTTACGAACTTAATCCGTATTGGAACGGCATTCGTACGTCAAAAAAATCATAAGTCGAGGCAAGATTTCCCATAGGAATGCATTGAAAACCATTTAATCCATTCAGGCTGTTTTTCGTTCATATGTTGAGGCGCTGTTCGTAAGTAGATGCATTAATTCCCATAGGAACTAATGCAAAGCCGGTTAATC